CCTCATCAGCTTGGGAGGAACCTAGCTGTCCTGCATGAACCAGGCATAGTGTGGGCGAGGCTGGGCCAACACTCACCATCTTTTGAGGGTCTGACTTCCCTGAATCATCCATTGCCTTGTAGTCCACTGAACCTTGGGGCTCAGAAGGATGATTCTATGAGGAACAAGGCTAACCAGCAATTTCATTCCCTTTTTTGAGAGGGAAAAATCTCCATGAAGGCTCTTGAGGAAGGTCTTTGTGGACAAGACAGTAACTTGTGGAACACCAGACCCTTGACCAGACCCTTGGGAAATACTCGTATCAAGCCAGCAAAGATGCAGGAACCAGTCAGAGAAGGACTTGCAAGTGAAGCGAAGCAAGTTGCACCACTGGAGAGCCTTGGAAAGGTCTTAAATTGTAGGAGTCTTATAGGAGCCCACTCTTGAGTAGTGTGGCAAACGGGAGGGAGGGAGCCAGACCAGGAGCCCTTCCAGCTGTCCAGGTGAGAGATGATGATGGCCTGAACCAAGTTGGGGGAAGTTGGAGTGGAGAGGAAGGCATGGGGCTGGAGAGGTGCTTGGGAGATGGAAGGGACTGGACTTGGTGATTATCATGAGGAGTGACTAGGAGGACTGAAACTCACACCCTAAATGATCGAGGGGAATGACCCAATTTAGGTGTGTGGAGAACATGAGCTCAGTTAAGGACATGGGAAGTTTGAGTTGCCCTGATGCAGGTGGGGGTGCGAGGCAGAGGCCCTGCTGGAGACAGAGGTGTTGGAGGCCCCAGGGTAGGTGGGGACTGAAGGCACAGAGTGGAGATCTCAGGAGGCGTGTAGAGAGAAGAGGTCCCAAGTCAGCCCGGAGGAACATCAAGGTCCATAGAGAACTGTCTGAACACTGGATGTTGGGGGCTGGCTAGAGGAGCCCAAGAAGCATGCGGAACCACCGGAGTCCCCTCCAGCCGGCTAACTGGCACCCACTCAGACATTCACACCCACAGGTCCTGTCTCAGATCTGTTGTATGTTCTCACCTCACATCACCCGCACATGCATGCCTGCACACCCAGCGTAAGGGGTACCCTGCAGCCCTCTCTTGCTCTTCCCTCCAGGGCCTCATCCCACGCAGACCCTGGGGTTAATCCTCCTCCTCCCCCAGATTAGAGGCGCTGCCCCCCTTTGTGCGTCCAAGTGCCCAAGGCGAAAGCCCTGGAAGGCTGCTGGCCTTCCAGGCAGCTGAGGTGGGGAAGGCGACAGGGGCGGCGGGGGAGGAGACACAAAAGCAGGGAGGGATCCCGGCTGCAGCTGCCCGGTGAGGGGTCGGGACAAAGGGCCTGCTGGCGGGCCGGCCGCAGCCGTTTTCATGCTTGTTGGGATTAGGCGCAGGAAAAGTCGCTCGCAGTGGTGCGGATCAGCAGCCCGGGGCGTGCCGGCGCGTGGGGCGGGCTTGGCCCCTCCTGGCCCCTGCTTTGTGTGGAACCCCGGCCCGCTCAGCTCCAGGCGGCACTGGGTCCAGGGAGGCTGCCCCTTTGTGTTCTCCTTTCGGGGGACGAGCCCCGCCTGGAGACCGCTGAACACCAGCTGAACGCCAGCCTCCAGCCCTCTCTTTCTTCCCCAGCGCAGAGCACTGGAGCTCCACCTCGCGCCCCCTTATGGGGCAAGGTCAAGGCCCCCCGCCCGGAGCCCTCAGGCTGCTCGCATCCCACAGCCTGAGCCCTCTTTCATGGGGGGCGGGGGGGAGACGTAGAGGCCCTCGGGGGACCTAGCCCCTCCCGCAGCCCTGACCTTAGTGCAAACACCCCTTTCTCGCGCCACCTCCCTCCCCGCGCCTGCCAGTCCCACAACCAAATGAATCTCCTCAAATCTACTGGTGATGAATGAGAATGGAGCGATTAGAGGATTGACAGGTTCTCAGCCTACCGGCTTGGGAGAGTAGCGGGGCAAGGATAAGGTTTGGCTAGAGAAGTCTTCAGGCCTGGAGAGAAGCAGGCACATTTCTGGCCGTCTTGTGCTGGGGCTGGGAGAGTCTCAGGGAGCTGCTGGGGCGTGCAATCCTCCCCAGGCTGGGTGCAGTCGTATTTCTGAGAGGTGTTGGGGAGTAGAGGGAACATGCATGTGGATCTATGTCCAGGAGTGTGCATTTGTGAGTGTGAGTGCTTGTGTGCGTGTGTGTGAGCCCGCATACATGCATAAGTGTAGGGTCTGGTGCCCCTGTGTGTGTGGGTGCCTGGTGGGTGTGGGCATGTATGAGTGTGGATTTGAGGCCTGGCTCAGACTCCAGAGCATCCCCATCTCATGTCCCTCTTCTCACCACCAGCACCCATTAAACTCATGGGTCTAGGATTCGAGGCCCTTTAGCAACCCTTTTTAATATACAGCACAACTGTCCTAGGGCATCTACTACTTCTGATGGCCTCCCCTTCCTCTCCTAGTCAGATAATAACATTTGTGGACCACTTCCTATGTGCCAAGCTCAGGTCTAAGCCCTTTATGTGTGTAAACTCATTTAACTCTCATATTACCCAATGCAAGAAATATTCATTGCCCCATTTCACAGTTGAGAAAAACGAGGTACAGCCAGCAGGAGGAGGCTCCAAGACATCTGGGTCCAGTCTGCACCAGAAACCACTATCCTGTTGCCTCAACTTCTACTCATTCTCTAGGCTTCTGTTCCTCCAGGAAGCCTTCCTTGATCGGGCACTCACAGATCTCATGACTTTCCTGTTCCTGTCAATTGTCCTTGCTGCGATTATGAGACACTAACACTGGATTTTGGGTGAGGCTTGTAGGAAACAGTCTGGTAGACAGGTCATAGGCTGCCACCAGAGGGCATTCAATCTCCTTAAAGATAGCCACTACACAGAACCCTGACATTCCAACCAAATTACAGAACAATCAACCTGGAGAACCATCTAAAGTCTTGCCAAGCATAAGTTTTATAACTAAAATTATAAAGAAGCCACGTGGAGACTGGTAGAGGGGGCAGAGAAGCAGAACAGGCCCCAAACCTCAGTTTAGCAGTTGAGCATCAGGACGGATATATCAGCTCTGGAGTTTCCCCCTGGAGAGCGAGGGACACCAGCCCTCCACACCAGGCGCCCTGGCCTGGAGTACTGGCACCAGGAAGAGGAGCCCCACAACATCTGGCTGTGAAAAACAGTGGGGATTCCGACCATACAGGTGGGACAAAAGGCTACAAGAAAACCAGACATCCTCTTAAATGGCCTGTGCGTAGACTCACTCACAGGCACTCACCTTGGGCTCCAGCAGAGGGACAGTGATTCGGGGGGCCTCAGAGATATATGGGGTGGAAAACTGAGGTGTTTGGCTTCAGGGGGGAGGACTGGAGGACATTTGGAAATTTCACAGCAAGGGGTCCTCCTATGTTAAGCCTGCCCCCTACACTTACAGCCAAATTTGAATCTGACTGGCCTGGTGAGCTCTGCTGCTCCATCCTGCTGACTCAACTCGGACCCTGCCCCACCCAAGTTGCTCACAGGTGGAGGCACTTTCTCTGCTGGCAGTCAGTCCCTCCAACATTGCACCCTTTCTTGGAAAACTATCAGAAACCACAGGCCCCAGGTGGGCAGCAACTGGCCTCAGTGTGCTGTAAGACTTTTGCTGAGTAGCTCCAGGCTCAGCACTGGCATCAAACCAGAGTCTACATTAACATGGTGACCACAGCACGGTACATGAGTTGAATGAGACCCTGCCTCATTCAGCGCATGTACCTCACGAGGCTTTTTCAGTGGCTGAAACTTAAGGAAGCTGGCAGGTGGCAGCAGGCCTCCAGGTGTCCTAGCATTTGTCGAGTAACCCCAGGCCTGGTACTGGTGGCATCTGTCCTGAGTTCACAGTGTGGCCTCTCCCATGCATCTCTAAGTATAGCACAGGCAGTGAACAACTGTGGATCATTTTGTAGCTCTTACCAGTAGTCCCTGGCCAGTCACAGACAGTGATTGACCTGGGCCTGCACCGGAGCCCCTCCCAAGAAGCCACAGAACCAACATACTGGGGGCTTCAGACCACAGTGGAACACCACCCAATTAGCATCACAAGTGGCACACACAAAGGGCGGTCTAAACAGGCACCAGAGCTGGCTGGGGTGAATCCTCATACACAATGAAATACGGTTTGGCCATGGAAGTGAATAGGTTCTTGTCATCCGCGGTGGCATTGATGGACCTGGAGGGTATTGTGCTGAGTGGAGTATCAGACAGAGAAAGACAGATGCAATGTGATTTCACTTACATGTGGAAACTGAAGAACAAAACAAACAAACAAAACAGAAACACACTCATAGATACAAAAAACTTTTTGATGGTTGCCAGATGGGAGGGAGGTTGGGGGTGGATGAGAAAGGGGAAGGTATTAAGAAGTACAAATTGGTTATTACACAGTAGTCATGGAGTGATGGGTATAGCACAAAGAATATAGTCAATAATACTGTAATAACTATGTATGGTGTCAGATGGGTACCAGATTTATTGGGATGATAGATGGGAGGGGGGTTGGGGGACAGGGTGAAAAAGGTGAAGGGATTAAGAAGTACAAATTAGTAGTTACAAAATAATCATAGTGATGTAAAGTACAGCATAAGGAATATAGTTAGTAATATGGTAATAACTATGTATAGTGCCAGGTGAGTACTAGAATAGTCAGGGGGGTCACTTCTTAAATTATACAAATGTCTAACTGCTATGCTGTACACCTGAAATTAATACAAAAAAATACTGAATGTTAACTATAATTGAAAAATTAAAAAAGAGGGGGAAAGGTGAAGAGAAATAAGTTTAAATTTCCAAGTATAAAACAAATCAGTCATGGGTATGTAACATACAGCATGGGGAATATAGTCAATACTATTGTGATAGCATAATATGGTGTCAGATGGTTGCTGGATTTATGGTGATCACTTCGTTAGGTATATAAATGTTGAATAACTATTGTGTACACTTGAAACTGATATTATATTGTATGTTAGCTGTATTTTTTAATAAAAATCTTAAGAAAAAAAGAAATGCACTTTTCTGTCCCAGTTTATTTATCTTGGTTTACACTCAACATGCAAGAGTTGGACACAAAGTTCCCAGGGTCATTGCTTTAGCCTCACTCCCCATGTTTTTCACCCACTCACCCATCAGGAATGGAACTCTTTAGAGATAATCAGAAGAAGCCCCCACATTTTTCAGATAGGAAGACGAAGGGCCAGAGGCAGTGTTGGTGACCTCCATGCCACGGCTCACCCATCGGGAGCTTGTGTCCTCTTGGCTCTCAGAAGCAAAACAGAGAGCTTGGCTGGCTACCTTCGTCCCTGGCTCTCCCCAGAACTCACCCACTTTCCACCTCACAGAGCTTCCGCTGGAACCTGTCAACCCCCATTCAAAGGGCCATACAGTGACGAGTGAGGGTATGACCCGCACCCGAAAAGCTTCCAGAGGCTGGGCTGACACTGCCCCTGCCCACCCTTGAAAGCTGAACTGTGGCTCCTCCTGACCCAGACAGGCTGATTTCAGGGAAACGGAACAAACTAATTCAACATGCAGTGTTGTTAAAGCCAGAGAGGCATAGCAAGTAGAGGCACAGGGAGGGAAGTGAGAATTTCCCTAGTAGCCTGGGATCACCTTGTCCATTCCTTGCAAGCTTATAAGCACACATTCCTTTGCATCAGAAACTTAAGTCAATAAGGTCTGCAATAGCTTCTTTGCAGTGGAGAGGTGTGGTTTATTTGAAATCGGTATTTTAGAATTCCCATTCTCCTATTCTTCACAGGGTTCTGCCATCATCGATCTCCCCCATCCCCATCTCCCATGTGCCCAAAGGCAGCGTTCAAGAGGGACGGTCCCCTATCTTCCTCTCTGATCCAGCCCCCCATCCCTGCCATAGTGTTGATCACCACCCCCAGCTCCCCTCCCTGATACTAATTCTCTACCAGTTGCCCTGGCAAAATCATGCCCAAAAAGCCACGGCAGGCCAAAACAGCAACCACCTACAGAAAATCCATCATCAGGGACAGCAGCCTTACAAAGCAAGGTCTGGGAGGAGTGAGGAAATCCCAGGAGAATGGATCAGCCATAACCCTCAGAAAAACGACAGCAGGCCACCCTCTTTCCAGGAAGCAGTGGGACCCTGGGGAGAAAAAAAGGCTATGGCAGGCCATGGGTAACACAGGGTGTGGATGCATGCCCCACATGTGCAACTGAATATATATTTGCACACATTTGCTTGCAAGTCTGCCTGCAAATACACGTTCTTCATCTATACTTCCCATGCCTGCATCTGCACACATGTACCCCTACCCATAGGCCTGCACACACAAGGGTTCCCTCACATACACTCACCACAGCCTGCACACTCAAACTCACTCATAGGCACACACATCTTTTGCATGTAGTTGACCCTTGAACAACACAGGGGTTAGTGGTGCTGAACCCTGACACAGTAAAAAATCCATGTACAACTTTTGAATCCCCCAAAACTTAACTACTAATAGCCTATTGACAGGAAGTTTTACTGATAACATAAAGTCAATTAACACACATTTTGTACGTTATACATATCATATACTTACTATTATTCTTACTATTAAGTAAGCTAAAGAAAATGTTATCAAGAAAATCATAAGACAAAATACACTTACAGTACTGTACATATTTATTGAAAAAAATCCACATATACTCGTAAGTGGAACTATAGCAGTTCAAACCTGTGTTATTCAAGGTCAACTGTATATCGTCACTCATGCACATATACACACACTGCTGGGTGTCTGTCCACATATGCATATACAAATTTACTCCCTCTTACATACATACAACACATACACAGATGGACATAGTCATACATAGGCTTGCACATAAGTTAGCTTGTGTGTACACATAGCCCAGGCGAGCTGGCGCACAGGTGCAGAGTCATACATCCTTGCAGATATCCACTACATGTTAGCTCATACATACTCACTTATCCTTAGCTGCACTCATACCAGCTAATAACCATGTACTTGTGCACAACCACACTCATGCCTGCAAATATATACAGATACCCCTGGCACCCCTGTGGAGGCGCTCGCTCTTAGCCCTGGTCCTGGGGCCTGGATGGTGCTGCCCTCTGTTGGAGACAGCGGATAAGCTCCTTCCGGTTGTCTAGGATGGTGTCAAAGCTCTCCTGCAGGCGGGCCTGCTGGTCAATCAGCTGGTGCTGCAGGCCTCGGATCCACTGGAGCAGGGCCAGGCGACGGTACATCACCAAATGCATGTGATGCTTCTCCTTCTCCTGCTCTTTGTAGAGCTCTTGAGCCTGCAGCTTCTGCACAGCCTGGGCCACCGAGGGCAGAAGGGAATCTGAAGGGCCAGAGCCTGGAGGGGTCCCACAGGCAGGCTCAGGGCTGCTGCTAGGGCTGTCAATGCTTAGGGAGCTGCTGGCATAGCCATTATCCTCCAGAGGGGAGCTGACTGTGCCGGCACCACCCATCTTCTCAGGCTCAGCCCTGGGGATCTCTGCCCCCTCTGGTGGGCTGCGGACCTCCCCGTCAGGAAGTCCAGGGGCCTGGAAAGCCTGGTTATCAGAGGGCAACTCAGAGTTCTTCATCAGGATGGGCTCCACTTGGCCTGGCATCCCACGCCAGTTCTCATTGGCATCCTTGGCACTTGCCATGAAGTTGGAGTTGCTATCTGGTTGGAACTCAGGCTGACATACTCCAGAAGGTGGGCCCCCCAGGAACTGGCTCCCCTCAGCTATCACTGGCTGGATGGCGAACATCTGGTCTGTAGAGGGGAAGCAGAAGGATGAGTCAGAGCAAGACAGGGTGGGGTGCCTGAGTCCAGGCAACCTCGCTGCAGGGACAAGGCATCAAGCAGGATTCCGGCTGCTCCTTCTCAGTCCCTTTTCCTGGTCTCCGGTAACATCTCCCTTCCTGGTTTTCCTCCTCCCTCTCTGACTATTACTTCTCAGCCTCTTGCAGAGGGTTTTCCCTCAGCCCTCTGAGGCACGGTGTCTTCTCATTCTATGCACTTTCCCCTCAGGTGACCTCACCCTCTGCTGTAGCTTTTAGAACCATCATGTGTTGTTGACTCTCAGATCTGTCTCCAGCCCAGATCCAACTGATATCCAACTCTGCAACCAACCACAGGCTCCTCAAATTCTACAGGTCCAAATTAGCTCACCATCTGCAGTGTCCTTAGCAAAATGACCTCACTCTCCATTCAGTCACTCCAGCCAGAAACCTGAAAGCATCCTGGACTCCTCACTCTGCTTCCTTCCCACATCTCATCGGCCACCAAATACTGACAATTCTTCCTCTTAAAAACCTCTGTGTTTCTGTACATCCATCTCCCCTCACTTTCACTTGGTTCAGGCCATTTCTTACCTGGATTACTGGCTGCCACAGTCTTCTCACTGATCTCTCTGCCTCCAGTTAAAAATGAAAATTTGATTGGTCACAGTTCTGACTGCCCTCCCTAAACTCCTGCTAAAGCTCTGTGGCCGAAATCTAAATGGCCTGCTGGGCTGGGCTTCGTTTGGCCCCTGCCCATCCTTCCAGACTTGCCTCTTGACGCTCTGCCCTTCCCACCACACCAAACTGCGCAGAGGCCTCAGAAGGTACCACTACTCTCCTCACAGTTCCTTTAGCCTACAATACCCTTCCTCTCCCCTGCCCTCTAAGATCCTCCCTTCTCCACCCAGCAAATTCCTTTTTGTGCTTCAAAACTCAGCTCTAATATCCCCACCTCTCTGAAGCCATCCTGATATTCCCCCCACTGTCCTAATATACATAAACAAACACATTTAACTGCCTCCCTCTGGGTCCCCACTGCCCTGGGTACACACTGTCTTATTCATGTTTGTTTCTTGTCCCTGGCACATAGTTGACGGTCAGTAAATGTCTATTCAATTTTTTTTAACTCTCTTGTAAAAGCAGCTCATAAATCTGGCTGCCTGACTAGACCTGGAACTCCCCCTGTTTTCCATCGTATTTCTAGGAGGCAGCATGGAGTTTGGCATTAAGCAGGTGTCAGTCCATACTTGCTGGGTGAATGAATGGGAGTGGGACACTTATTCTCAGGAAGATGGGGGCCAACAGTAGCAGAAGGCTACTGCTGACTGCCCAGGGCTAGAAGAGCTGGGTTCAGTTCCCTCCTCTGCCCCCCCATACACACACACACACACACACACAC